TGATGCCCATACATATCATTGGTCAACGCCATATTCATAGCCAAACTACAACTTCGTGTTATTTCATTTAATGGATTCTTGGTTTGTTTTAAAGCGTGCTTCCTCGCTAGACAAAGTGGCTCGATTTGTGGCATTGTTGTGGCATAGTTGGAAGGCCGGTGCTTGGGTGGTGTTTGAATTTAAACACGTTCGCATTTCAGTGTTTGAGTGACAGTTGTGCAGGTCTATGATGGTGCTTACCACCAGGGATGCTGGTAGCTCTACGGGGGTGGATTAGGGCCAACCGATCCAGGATACGAATTTCGTTATGATGCTTGGGATTGTGTGTGGTCGTTTGATGGGGCCTTAAGCAGGGATCCTCATGCGAGATAGGGATGTTTATTGATGCGAGCCTCCAGAACAACGAGATCAAAATCCCTAGCCACGAACGTCAATTCCCCGACCGTGGAACAGAAGGATAGACCGGGATTGGAACAGAAGAGTTCTTCGATCAAGGACCTCAATTTCCCGACCGTGGAACAGAAGGACATACTGGGGAATAGCCTCTGACAGGTTAAAATTACATTTTTTCAATTAGGATACCTTTTCCTTTATGTGTTTTAGTTAGTTAATTTTTACTGGACTCTATTTAAAGGGCTTAGACCCGAGTTTTCAGGCAGATTTTGATGAATTGAAAACTTTGCTCTTGTTCATTGAGCTTTTGACTTGTGAATTGTGCTTTGTATCAGGACTCCCCTTGATTGTGGTCGAGCGTCTACCCTATATTGATAGAGCCTTCTCCCAGGTGTGAGATTGCATTTCAATTCCACCTTATCCCTAACCCCAATTCTTGTTCTTGGATGCGCAACTTTGAAAACTACGAGTATCGGTTCCACGCTCGTATCAAGTGGTATCAGGGCTCCGGTTCAACACAGTGGCAAGAACGAAGGCGAGAGGACCTATTTCTTCTCGTACGAGTGCCAAAGACCCCATAGCCCACCGCGGGGCAGAGAAAGATTCTTTGTCAGAGGAAGAAATCTCATTCGAAGAGCAAACCATGGAGTCAAACCTTGTAGACGCCATGAAATAGCTTGCAATACAGATGGCTCATATGGGAGCTTTGCTTCAAACCCAGCATGAAGCTACAAAATCTCAACTTGTTGAAACCACAAGCATCTGGATACCCTAATCACCAGGTTGGAAACAAAACTAATGGGTAATCCACTAGAGAATACACTAGTTGTAGCAGCTCAGACTGGAGCTGATAATCGAGAGGGCCCCAAAGCAGAATGAGCTCAAAATTATCAAGCTTTTTCTAAAACCCTTGACTAACAGGATGCAGAAGCGTCAACAAACAGGGCATCATAATCAGGTAATCACCTAATACAAACCTCCATTTAATGATTACGAAGATGATTACCATGATTATGGTGGAAGACCACCAGAAACAGGAGGCGTTGATCTGATTCAAGGAATCAAACTGGTAATCCCTCCATTTTAAGGGATCAACAGTGCTTCAGCTTACCTTGATTGGGAGAGGAAGATGGTTTTATTCTTTCAGTGCAATCCTTACCCAAAGAATCGGAAAGTCCTACTAGCTACCTATGAATTTTCAGATTATGCAGTAGCTTGGTGGGAACAAGTCAACTTCGGCGAAGAATAAATTTGTAGCCTTCTGTTTCTACATGGGAAGATTTGAGAGGCCTAATGCATGATCGATTCGTGCCTCCTTTCTATAATAGAGAACTTTATGATTCCTTGCATGGAATTCGGCAAGGAGCATGCTCTATTGATGCGTACTTCAAAGAGCTTGAATCGCTCTTTATGAGGGAAAACGTGAGGGAGGACAAGGAAGCAACGATTACTCAATTTTTACATGGGATCAACCGAGAAATCAGGCAGGAAGTCGAGCTTCATTAGTTTGTGGAGTTGGAGAAAGTGGTTCATTTAGCAATGAAGGTGGAGAGGAACCTGAAAGTCGGCTCTGGAAGAAGGTACACACCTTCAAAGCATGCATCCGAAATTACTTCAAAAAGTGAGTCTCAACTTACCAGGAAAGAAGGAGCTAAGGTTGTGCCGAGGAACACGACCCCTATCATTCAAGCCAAACCCGAGGGATAAGTTGGAAGCATCCAATGCTTCAAATGTCTGTGACGAGGTCACAAAGCAAATCAGTGCCCCAACAAAAAGTTCTTGTTCTACGAGATGGAGAATACTTTTCTAAGAAGGAGAAGGAAGAGAAGCCAATTGGAACAGGGATCGATTATTATTATTATTATTATGATGATGATGATGATGATGATGATGAGTATATCACTACTGAAATCCCTCCAACAGGTAAGTTTCTTAGAATCAATGGTACAGTGCTATCCCTTGAAGCTCTAGCTTACCAAGAACAACGAGATAATCTGTTTCATACTCGTTACCTTATGGATGGAAAGTTGTTGTCTATGGTAATCGAGGATGGTAGCTACACCAATGTTGTGAGTTTTGATGTCGTTAAGAAACTGGGACTAAATACCATTAAGCATCCACAACTTTATGACTCGACTCTAACTACACATTCCCAATCGACGGTCAAGTATAACCGACGACCGAGTGTAACATAGGGTAAGCAAGCAATAAAATTTATCGAACCACGAGGATCTAGGCTTACCTTACTTCGGATTTAGGTTTCATTATCTAGCCAACCTAGAATAGTGATTAAGAAGACTAAACTAACTGACCTAATTAACCACTATCCTAGCTAATTACAAGTTTTTGGAGCTCTCTTAGCTTAAATCCTCCTAATTCTATCATTTGGATCGATGTTGAGTATCATTCTTGCTTGATCGACTTATTACCCTACCGTTATGAGATCGACTCACTCGGGATTGACCCGGAATGACAAAGTGATGGATGGGTATGTGCTCTATTCAACCTAAGGATTCATATATCGTTAGGAGGTAAATCGAATAAACTCCCTCAGGGATTACCCGAATAACATATGATAGGAGTGACCCGAAGACGCCAAAAGTGGGCTCTAAGGTGATTTTCTCCATCCTAGGTCAAAAACTCAATTGACTTCAAGAACTCATACAATTTATGAAACCCATCCATCAAATAGATAATAAACACAATCTAACATAGGATTTGTCACATACATCAACATTAAACCAAAATCTAGATATAGGTTTCATCAACCTAAGAGAAAGAGGTCTAGTTCATAGAGAGAGAAGAGATATTAACCCAAGCCTCTAATTAAGCTCTAAGATCTCTCTCTCTCTAGCATCTCCTCTATGGTGTTTTGGGTCGAAACCCTAGAGAGAGAACCAAGTTCTCCTCCAAAAACAGCTCCATTTTCTCTCTCCCAACAACTCTCTTTTTATACAGCCCGAGACTCAAAGTCACGGGTGGAATGTCACGGCGTGACATTGGACCTCCGGCCGTGATCTCATCCAAAATCGCAAGAAGTTGCTGTCGTTCTTGTCCGACTTAACGGTATGCTGGTGATTGTCACGGTCTGGCGACCATGACATCTTTTTTGTCTGTGAGGCATGCGAAACCCTCCGGAATCATGCAAACTTCACGTCCGTCTTTCAATTGTCACGGCCTCGTGGCCATGACATTCACGTTCAAACCGTGACCTTTGACTTTTCTTCACATTTTTCGTGCTTTCCGACCTCCAATCATCCCGAAACTCGTCCTTAACCTTTCCACACGCACTAGGACCTGAAATATAGCAAAACAAGCACAACCTAGCGTAAAATAGGTCGAGGGACAATGATTTACCAAGTCAAGCGATCCAGAAATGAGGGGTAAAATATGTGTAATTATGCCCGAATCACCTTACAAGCTTCACTAGTTGAACGACTATGGAGCCATCAAGGTTAAGAAGAAGGCCAAGGTTCGATTTCATATTGGCGAGTATGCAGATGAAGTCTGGTGTGATGTTGCCCCATTATAGGTTGTCCATGGCAATATGATCGTGAAGTTATTCACGACGGAAGATATAATAGCTACCAGTTCAAGCAAGGAGATCGAAAGTTTATGCTCAAACTATTGTCGCAAGCTGAAGTTCGAGAAGATCAACAATAGATGGAGCTGAATTGGGCAAGGGAGAAAAGAAACACATGTGGCTCGAAGTCGGAGGATGGAAGTGGAACCCATCTTATGGCTCAAAGACACATGTTGACTACTTTAAGAAGAATTCCGTTTGAAAATTATGGTGATGGTTTCTCTTGCAGGAACACACAAGCTTTGAGAGCAAAGCTTCTTCAACAGGGAGGGACTGATGCAAGCCTCCAGAGAGACCCAAAATCACTCTCCTCGAAGCGAGAAGAAGGATGCACCTCGTGGAAGCAAGAAGGACGAACAATTCCATGACCGTGGAACATATAAGGATAGACTAGGGATTGGAACAGAAGAGTTCCTCAGCCAAGGACGTCAAATCCTTGACCGTGGAACAGAAGGATAGACCGGGGAATAGCCTATGGCGAGTTAAAATTAAATTTTCCAATTAGGACTCCTTTTCCTTTTTTTGTTTAAATTAATTAATTTTTCCTGAACTAGCCTTGTCCTTAATATTTATCAAATAACATATATGTGTTATTCAAAGAATATCAATACCACATATCTTTTTTCCAAACAAACTTATTATTTGTAACCAAATATCATTATATCATACTCAAATACCACACATGCAAACTAACCATTTGCTTATTCGTTTTCCTTTCTATAGTGCACCTTAAACTTTACTTATTTATGCAGCCAGTGGTTTAATTTTGTAATGATTCCGGTGGTAGTAGGAAAGGAAAGAGTCCAGTCTGTTTTTTAGACTAAATTTCAGTTTTATATTTAATTATAGATACCACCTAACTCTCTCACTCACTGATTCAAATGGAGTATCACCACCAAATATACCAATAATAAAGTACTAATTATTAACCTCAAAAAAATAATCTTTGTTTTAGTTCCCCTTTCCCATTTTTTGTCCTTTTCTCAACAACCCCCAACCCTTTTAGCTTTTAACCCCTTTTTCTATTCCTTCCCTCGCTCTCCCTTCTCTTCACGGTTTTAGCAAAACCAAAATAACTCTCTCCTCCAAACAGAAACAGCCTCCTCCTCCTCCTCTGTATACCGGCAATGGAGCGGGCGAGGCGGCTGGCGAACCGCGCAATTCTGAAGCGCTTGGTAAGCGATTCCAAGCCAAACAAGCACTGCCGCAACAGCCGCCGCAACGACCCTCCGGCCGCCGCTTCTTCGTCGTCCTCTCTCCTCAACTCGTACTCCTCTTCCCCTGTTCTGTACACTCCTTCGCGCTATGTCTCCTCATCGGCGTCCTCCTCCTATTCCCCACCAAAGATTCACAGGTCTGGCCTGTTTGTCGGAGCCAGAAATGCCGCACCGCACAACCCCGCCGCCGGCGTTCGATTCGTTTCCGTCGATGCTCTGAAATCCAGTGACACTTTCCCCCGCCGCCACAACTCAGCCACTCCGGAGGAGCAGTCCAAAATGGCGGAGGTATGTGGATTCGAAAGCCTCGACGCCTTGATCGACGCCACCGTCCCTAAATCTATTAGGCTCGACTCGATGAGCTTCTCTAAGTTCGACGGAGGTCTCACCGAGAGCCAAATGATTGAGCACATGCAATATTTGGCATCGAAGAACAAGGTTTTCAAGTCGTTTATCGGGATGGGATACTACAACACTCACGTTCCTCCGGTGATTCTGAGGAACATAATGGAGAATCCGGCTTGGTACACGCAGTACACGCCGTACCAGGCTGAGATTTCCCAGGGGAGGCTGGAGTCTCTGCTTAACTACCAGACCATGATTTCAGATCTCACAGGCCTTCCTATGTCCAACGCTTCGTTGCTCGATGAAGGGACTGCAGCTGCCGAGGCAATGGCTATGTGCAATAACATTCTCAAGGGCAAGAAGAAGACCTTCATCATCGCTAGCAACTGTCATCCACAGACCATTGATATCTGTAAAACTAGAGCAGCTGGGTTTGATATCAACGTGGTCACTGCGGACCTCAAGGACATCGATTACAAGTCTGGGGATGTTTGTGGTGTGCTGGTTCAGTATCCTGGAACTGAGGGTGAAGTTCTGGACTACGAGGGCTTTGTTAAGAACGCTCATGCTAATTCAGTGAAGGTTGTCATGGCAACCGACTTGTTGGCATTGACTGTGTTGAAGCCTCCTGGTGAATTGGGGGCAGATATCGTTGTTGGTTCCGCTCAGAGGTTTGGGGTTCCCATGGGGTATGGAGGTCCTCATGCGGCCTTCTTGGCTACTTCACAGGAGTACAAGAGGCTGATGCCTGGAAGAATTATTGGTGTGAGTGTCGATTCGTCGGGAAAGACTGCTCTGCGCATGGCAATGCAAACTAGGGAGCAGCATATCCGCAGGGACAAGGCTACCAGCAACATATGTACAGCTCAAGTATGAAAATTTTCTGTTGGGGACTTTTGATTTTTCAGTATGATAATATTACTGATGATGGTTGCCTAATACTCTCTGCTCATTTTTGCTAAAAAACGGCTTGCCTTGGCTAAACTGTATCTCTTGTTTTGCAGGCATTACTTGCAAACATGGCTGCCATGTTTGCAGTCTATCATGGACCTAAAGGTCTTAAAGCGATTGCTGACAGGGTCCATGGCCTTGCTGGAGCTCTTGCCTTGGGATTGACGAAACTAGGTGTTGAAGTTCAGAACCTTCCCTTCTTTGACACTGTCAAGATCAAGTGTGCTGATGCACATGCAATTGCTGATGCCGCTTCCAAAAATGGGATGAATTTGAGAGTTGTAGATGCAAACACTGTAAGATCAAATCCCAAGTAGTCTAAGGATATAACTTCGTCACACATATTCTTATAGTTGGTGTGTCTTTCAGATCACCGCTGCATTTGATGAAACAACAACATTGGAAGATGTAGATAAACTCTTCAGCATTTTTGCTGGTGGCAAAGCTGTGAGTATCACTAGTTAGTCTATCCTGCAGCTGCGTTTGATGTTGCAATTGACGTTCTGGATCATGTTCATATTTGCTGTTATATTGTCAATATCTTGACCTCAGCTTCTTTGGACCAGGTACCTTTCACTGCCGAATCTCTGGCTCCAGAGGTGAAGAATGTGATTCCGTCTAAGCTGACAAGAGAGAGCCCATATCTTACTCATTCCATCTTTAACATGTACGACCTGCACTGTAAACTTAAGTTAATCAAGAATTTTGTGTAGACGATTATGCTGACCTTTTGTGTTATATATCAGGTACCATACCGAACACGAATTGCTCAGATATATACACAGGTTGCAGTCAAAAGACCTCTCATTGTGCCACAGCATGATTCCATTGGGATCATGTACAATGAAATTGAATGCAACAACTGAGATGATGCCAGTGACATGGCCTGCCTTCACTGATATTCATCCCTTTGCACCTGCAGAGCAGGCTCAAGGATATCAGGTATGTAACTGCAAAGTGTTTGGTGGATTAAGTGATATTCTTTTTCAGCGTGGTATTGTAAACTGTCTTTTCTTTTCAGGGGGTTGGTTTGGAATGGCAAACAAATTAAGTTTACCTTGAATACTTTTGTTTCACAGGAAATGTTCAACAACTTAGGCGACCTGCTATGTACCATCACTGGATTCGATTCTTTCTCATTGCAACCAAATGCTGGTGCTTCAGGAGAATATGCTGGACTAATGGTGATTCGTGCATATCACATGGTATGTTAGTTATCATTAAGTATCTATCAGCAAGTTGTCTCTTCAGTAACAAAATAGCCTCCAATTGAGGTGCTGCACTGTTGATTTTGCTTTTTCTCTTCTGAAGAATTCTTAATTGGAGTGTCTGATTTCATCATGTTGTTTTGAGTACTTCACACGATTGCTGTGTGTCCATGCTTTGCTTCTTTGAAGTAATGCCATGATAACTCGATTTGTGTAAATCCATGTCTGACATTGTAACTAATTTACTGCGATGCATGATTCGTTTGAATCTACGAGACTGCATGTTTAAAATGGGCAGAGCTCGGAAAACAGAACTATACTGTTTCATTGTGCTGAAGATCCTGTTTCTTGCTCTGATATAACTGGGACTCATGGTTTCAAACCTGAAATGTGTCTCCTTCTTTCTGTCTGTCCTTTTTCTTCGTGTCCGATTCTTAGTTCATTCATTTAATCATGATGGACTTACCTCTGTATTTGCGCTGCAGGCGAGAGGGGATCACCACCGTAATGTCTGCATCATTCCTGTTTCAGCGCATGGCACCAATCCTGCAAGTGCTGCCATGTGTGGAATGAAAATTGTTGCTGTTGGAACTGATGCCAAGGGAAACATCAACATAGAAGAGCTCAGGCAGGCTGCTGAAGCAAATAAGGATAACCTTTCTGCACTCATGGTATGACTGTTCATTTCATTGATAAATAAATTTGAGTTTGCCAAAACTCGAGCAGAATCTTATGGCCTCGTGGAATACTGGTGGCACTATCTGGGATGTAATTGCAGGTTACTTATCCATCAACTCATGGAGTTTATGAAGAAGGTATTGATGAAATCTGTAAGATTATTCATGACAATGGAGGTCAAGTATACATGGATGGGGCTAACATGAATGCTCAGGTTTGTTTCCTGTACCATCAACTTGTCTGTCTGACCACTCTTTCCAAATCAAATGCCTCAATTGTATTTGTTGTTCATATGTTTCCAAGAAAATCAATTCTTATCTTTTTCTAGTGAGATGTTATCCATCTGAAAGTTTCCCGCCTTTTGAAGATTCTTACTCAGGAAAGTAATGTAAATTTTTTAAGGGATCTCGAAATTGCACCTGTCCTGTATAGTGACCACACATATGTATCTTCCTTCCGTCTGGGCTAATATTACTGCTTGCTAAAGGCGTTGAAACGTAATTTTGTTTTGTCAGTATAACCAACTGTGGTGAATTTACTTTTAATTTGTATTCCTTTCAGGTGGGACTGACAAGTCCTGGTTTCATTGGAGCTGATGTCTGCCATCTTAACCTTCACAAAACATTCTGCATTCCACATGGAGGTGGTGGTCCTGGAATGGGCCCAATTGGTGTGAAGAAGCATTTGGCACCATTTTTACCTTCGCATCCTGTGGTAAGTTCTCGTTTAGATGTTGTTTGCTCATGGATTTACCAGAATACCACTTCTTCTTTTATATGGCAGATGATGAGTTGATCGATTATGTTTCTTCCTGAATAAATGTTTTTGTTGCGGATGTATTTCTCAATTATTACTATGAATCACTTTGATTTTATCTTCTCCTAAGACTTGCTGTCGTCATCATGTCTTCATAAATGTGTTGTTTCTATTTTCAAGGTACCTACTGGAGGCATACCGGCTCCTGAAGAGTCCCAACCGCTTGGCACCATTTCTGCTGCACCTTGGGGATCTGCACTTATCTTGCCAATATCTTATACTTACATTGCGATGATGGGATCTCAGGGACTCACTGATGCTTCAAAGATTGCCATCTTGAATGCAAACTATATGGCAAAGCGTCTGGAGGTAAATAAGTTCACTAAACTTCAAATTTGTCTCATCAATACACTGCTGGCAATGATTTCAATCTTAAAGTGATAATCACCAACTCAAATGGAAATTAATCCCTTTATTGAAATTTTTGTTATGACCGACGAATGAATTTATTGACTGTCTGACATGCATCCTGAATGCAAAGGTTCATAAAGAGCTCGTACTTTGTAGCTTATTAGAAAAACCAATACGCAGATAAAGGTTTGCTAACCTATCATTTTGCCTTTGTTTCTTCTCTCAGAACTACTATCCCGTTCTTTTCCGCGGTGTCAATGGAACATGTGCTCATGAGTTCATCGTGGATTTGAGAGGTTTTAAGGTGCTGCTTATTTACTTGTCTGAATAACAATTTTACTCCATACAATAGTTGCAATGAGTAATCTTGAAACATATAATGATTGTTATTGCAGAATACCGCCGGAATTGAGGCTGAAGATGTTGCCAAACGTCTCATGGACTATGGATTCCATGGGCCTACAATGTCATGGCCAGTTCCTGGGACACTTATGATTGAACCTACTGAAAGTGAGAGCAAGGTAAGAGCTGCATAGAGCACCAGTACCCTTTCTTTTCATCTTCACATGTGTCTCATATGGAACTGAATCGATGCTTATCAACTTCTTTCGCAGGCTGAATTGGACAGATTCTGTGATGCCCTTATTTCTATCAGGGAAGAAATTGCAGAGATTGAAAATGGAAAGGCTGATATCCACAACAATGTCCTCAAGGTTATTCTTCCACACTGTTAGAGCCATAATTTGCTAAGTTTGACAACCAAAAAAGTAGTTCGGACTCTGACTGTCTTTGATGTGCAAATGCAGGGGGCTCCTCATCCGCCATCTTTGCTCATGGGTGATACCTGGACGAAACCCTATTCCAGGGAATACGCAGCATTCCCTGCTTCATGGCTGCGCACTGCCAAGTTCTGGCCTACAACAGGTACTAATGCTTTGTCTAAACCTCCTGGACATGGTTTACAACTTTTCATGTGCGTTAACCGATGTTCGTTACTGATTCTTTTGTACAGGGCGCGTTGACAATGTCTATGGTGACCGCAACCTCATCTGCACACTTCTCTCAGTATCCCAGATGGCTGACGAACCCGCAGCAGCTACCGCTTAATCTGTCATTCATGCTTCACCAACATCAAGCTTGATGGAAGAGAAGTTCCCTTTGGTGGTTGTATATAAAAGTTAGCTCATCACTGGATGCAGCTCGTGTGACATACATTTACAAGAAACATAATTTTCCACGTCGAGAGAAGGAAACAGGAAAATTAGATGCTTATGGTCACGCTGATGCTCCTCTTTAATGACATTTCGTTGCTTAAATGCAACTAAACTGCTGTACATCATTTCTAGCTTCTATTTCCCTTTCAATCTATTTCTCTTGGTGTCTATTCAATATCTTGTCCTAGATAAAGCGATTCACTTTCATGCAATAAATTTTACTCATTTTCAAAGGTGCGTTCTAAGTTCTAACCCTAGGTTAGAAGACTTCATCCCTCCGGTCTAAGAACAAATAGTGCTCAAATGTTATGAAGAATCGATAAATAAACCATGAAACCTTGAATAAATAGTGTTCATCCACAAACATTATGTAAGAACTACGGCTCTATGGCAAGTCTAGGGTTCCTAGATTAGTAAATTGATAGAGGATTGAGAATTAGGGATTGAATTGAGGGATTGAGAATTAGAATAGAATTAGGGATTGAACCCTATCTTAGAGGATTGAGAATTAGAATAGAATTAGGGATTGAATTGAGGGAAGAAGAAAGGATTTGGGGATGGTAGAAGGAAGGATGGTGGGCGACGGCAATAAGGAGGGGAGGAGAGGGTTGAGGGAGAGAGATATATTAGATTTTAGGGATTTATCGTTATGTTATTGCTTAACTCCAAAAATCTCACCAATCACATAATATATAATTCGTTAATTCCCACTAACTACCCAACGAATAATTCCTAACAAAATAACCCCAAATAATATCCAGATATCGATAACAATCATAACGAGACAAATAAGTCCAATTAGAAACTAGTTAGAAACTGTGTTTCTAACATTCCACCCTCTTTGAAACCAACCTTTCCCTCAAGGTTGGTCGTCCTTATCTCATCCTTCTTCACCTCCGCCATCTCGATCTCCATCTATTCACCTTCATCCTCCCAGTTGCCCACCAATAGCATCAAATCCCCTTAGCAGTTAGCACACTGGTGACCCACCGTGTAACGCTCGTAACAGTTGAAGCAGTGCCCATCCCGACGCTTCTGCTCCATCTCTGGCGGTGTCAGACTTACGAATCCATTCGGAGGTAGTCGGGTCGGTTTCACCCTCCTGGCGGTGCTCCTGTGGCCACCGGGTTTGCAGCTCCCGATGGGGAGGATGTCGCAACACTCTGGCTTGCTCCCGCACCCTGGTTGGCTCCCGCACTTGGTCCACCACCTACGCCGCTCGTGGCCCTCTAGAGTCGCCCCGCATTGCTCCCTCAGATAGCTAGTTCTTCCTCCTTGCGACCTGCTAGTATAAAGGTAACTCGCAAAGAGTCAGGTTCAAAGGCTATCACCGAAGCTGCCAACTCTGGCCGGAGCCCCACCATGCACAGTCTCACCAATGTCTCCTCTACCATTCCTTTACACTGGTTCCCCAACTTTAGGAACTCTGATTGATACTCATCTACGGTTCCGGTCTCCTTTAATTTGGCCAGCTGCTCTGGTGTCCATCCCTCGGCCTTGCCAAACTGGTACTTTAACTCCTCCTGGAATATGGGTCATGTGATCACGGTCTCTGCAACAACATAGGTACCCTTCATTCACTCCCACCATTGTATGGCATTCCAAGTAGAAGGACCCTAGGTGTGCTTTCCTCTCCTCCTTAGTTGGGTGATTCTTGAACCACCTCTCCACCGAATACAACCATAATCTCACATCCCCATGGCCATCAAACAGTAAAAATTCAATGACAGGTGGGTTGACCCTAAATATCACATCATCATCACTCTCATACATAAGGTTATAGCCTCCATACCTGCCCGTGTTCGACTGTTACTTCCCGCTGTCTCCTCGACTGACGCTTGCCCAATCCTATTACTGCGGCTGAGGAAAGGACCAATCCTCACCCTCCTCCAAGTACGACTATTGCTCTCTCGTCCTTACTCTCGATCACAAACTGATCTCCATACTCTCGATCACAAACGATATAGACCAGTATTTGGGATATACTGAATTTGTCTATATTTGGTATTACCGAATACACGTATTATTTCTTGGGATTGGGATTGAATTTCAATTGTAATTTGGTATTAGGGATTACGGGATTGGGATCAGTATATATCGAAATACTGATCAATACCGAAATATAAGCTACTGTGTATTTTATCCTCTCACCTAGACTTTCTCATTCACTACTACACGACCCTCAACCACCAAGAGTGTCATTTAATTATACATAGATCATTCGATATTCTATTTCACAACTTAAAAATTCTCATTCAACTCAATTTTGGCTTTCCAATTTAAGTAATTCTCGTCTCTCACCTAATCACTTGTTATTTTCATAATACCAAAAATCAAACAGTAGTATTAGTCATCTCTCGGCCTACAACTCGTAAAATCAAAGATTACCAATGACAAGAACTTGAGATGCTACCTCTCCTCCAATCTCCTTATCCATATCCTAGCTCTAGGCAAACTCAAGACCCTTTGATTAGTCTCTTTTCCCTAAATTAAACAACCAAATCTAATTTATATATTTAATTGTTAAGTGCAAAGGTAATTAATTTCGTATTTGATAATACCGATGGGGATACCGAAGTACCGATTGGGATACCGAAATATTTAAGGATTGGGATTGGGATACCGAAATTATTTAGGGATTGGGATTGGGATTGATTTTAGGGTGTAATTCGGTATTTGAGATTTCGGTATTTAGTATTGGGATACCGATACCGTACCGATTTCCACCCCTACTTGCAACTAAACTAGACCAATCCCAGCCCAACTCAATCCTCAATATGTTTTTCTCAGGCTCTCTGTTCTCTTTGTCTCTCTCAAATCACAATCCCTTAAACTGTGCATAATTCATAATCTTACATCATCTCCCAATAAGCCTCAGGTTGTGATAGAGTGCCAAAGTGCCTACACAACTATCCACATACTTAGTCCATAAACAAAAAATGAGCGATGATAAGACCAATTCGAGAACCATATATCATGCCTATGTTCAAACTTCACCGTGACTAACTTAACCTTCTAATCATTGAGTATATTATACACAATAAAAATTTTCTCTCACTTTTTGGCCCAACACCTGGGGTTGTCTCTGTTGCAAAGGGAAAATTCTGGCCTAGGTAGAGGGTGGTAGTTGTTACCTCAAAATGAAGAAGCAACAAATTGATCACCACAGTGGTATGCTAAAATGGTAGGATGAGGAATGTAAGGAGTCAACAATCTCCATTATCGACTAGAGAAATACTCTTGCACTTCGTGTTTGTTCCCATAGTGGAGGTAGAACACATTGAGCACCATCGATGATTATAGACAAGATATTGTTGCAATTCTTTCTAGAGAAGAATTTAGGGCTAGAGGATGATTTGGCAGTAGAGAGGAGCACAAGTAGTGATTGACCCGAAAACCATAATAAACTGGCGATTGTCGCAATGGCAATCCCAAATCATCCCTCAGTTGAGCCATCCAGGCACGAAATTCGACGTTGCAAGGAGAAACAAAAGTAAACTGATAATCGATGGTGCAAAACTTTGATAGTCATCATGGTGGTCGAAAATCCCTCTAATAGAAAGTTGTAATGTACAGGGTCTGAATGAGATCTTTCCAATGAGAGAGAAGAGAGAAGGATGTTGGATTTAGAATATAAAAGCGAGAAGAAGGAAGAAGGAAGAAGAAGATGAAGGGGTCGTTTGGAAATTGCGAATGTTAAATAGATGTATTGTTGAGAATGCATGTATAATATTATACATGTATTGTCGAATTTGATGCATTGTAGAATACAACGTTTGGTATGTGTGATTGTGTATGTCGCATCAGCTAAAAGCTGAGACAAAACAATCTCAACTCAACTATCTCAATAATCACAACTAAAAGTTGAGATATAACAATCACTTAAAATGAGTGATAGTTTCTGTCACATCACAGAAACAATCCATGTATTGTTTCTGTTAAAAAAACAAAAAAATGATGCATTGTAAACAATACATGCATAATGACAATCTCAACAAAACTATCGCAACTTCCAAACGACCCTGAAGAAAAGAGGAACAAAGGGAAAGGTTAGATATAAGAGAAAGAAGATAGAGGGATTAGAAAAGATTATGTAATTCTCATTTTATAATCTCAATACAACAATTTTCTCTTATATAGGATCAATTCCAGAATGAACATCAAATATGTTTATATAAAAGAAATCTCAAACTAATACTTCTTACAAATCATCCATAATCATTACATGATCTTTTCTGTCCCTTTCCAACCGATCTATTTTTAATCCAATCCTATGCATTCCTCCATGCCTACATCCCAATGGATCCCCAACTATAAATTTATACTATCTTATTTTTATCGATGTATAGGATTTAACTTGTTTCTGACATTTTTACATATATCACTCTGACCCTGAATATTCGCCTACACTCTCCCTCGCCAGTTTTGTTCGTAAAAGCGGCATGAGGCTCCTCGGGAGGTCGGTGCCGTGGAGCTTGGAGATAAAAACCTGATTGTTGAGCCCATAGATGGAAGTTGATTTAGCCACACAATTGGTGATTGCGGATTGGTCAATTTCATGACTTATCAAAGATGGATAAATCAAACAATTTTTGGAGTTAATGTAAGATTGAGATTGCGCATTGCACTAAAGAGTTCAATTCAATTACAAGAGATGAGTTGGGAATTTTGGGTCGGGCGGGTTGTATTTGTATAGTTCCTCTATGATATTTTTTAATTTAACATTGGTGATGTGGCATGGCGAGCAAAATATTTGGATAGAAAGTGGATGGAGACCGGCATAATGATATATTCGTTAGTTAGTGTAACGCCTGTGGTGGTTTGTTGAAATCCAAAAGTTAGTAACCCTAAGCATAGGGAAAATTAAACCCTTTAAAAATAGTTAGAGCATGTACTAAGTAAGCATAATTAGCCAATGGGAAAATCTACTAAGCATGAAATTATGAGTGTGCAAGCACTCATGATGCATAAAACATAAGGAGAAAATAGTGTAAGAATGCTTGTAAAATTCAACCAACTTTTAGAGTCAAGAGGAATGAAGAAAATCAATCCCAATTTGCCTTCTTGAAATTCAATCCCAGTTTAGCTAGGCAGATCGCAGGCCCCATTAGACAAAGCTGTGAAAAGATCACAGTCGCGAACCCACGGTGCGATCTCTCGCCCTGCACAGACTACAAGATGAAGCTAAAGATCGTGAGCATCACGGCCAAATCACGACCGTGATCTTGCCCGA